GCGTTCTCCTCTACACCCCCATTGCTGGGGCAATATCCCTGAACCCTCACGCATGCCTGCTGCCAGGAGCGGACGGTGGAGGCCATGGCGGGTAGGCGCGGCTTGACCTTTAGCGGTTTGAGATGTAGCGTCTAGGAGCTAGGGGTTTAGGGTTGGGTCGCAGGATGTGTAAGGCTTCCTGAGAGGAGCATGACGGCATTTCTCGGGGATAACAGGGATCTGGAGGATGATGCTAAGTTTAGACTGCAGCGGTCTCAGGGTGGGAGTTTTGGTTTTGGGGTCTTCGCTCTTAATTCACAACATGTGCATGCTCCTAGAACCAAGCTGATCTCGTTCTGCGGAAGAAGGAGTAACTGGATTTAACCCCTAATATTAAACCCCCCCACCTCCCTCCTAATATTAAATGCTCCCATTGTGTTGTATGGTAGTATACAGAAGTTCGAGGCTGAAGGCTGGAGAGCGACTTGAGTCTGTCATACGCGGGCTGAAATGAGAGTGTAGGAGCAACGTTCAGGCTGTTCCGGCTCGCAGATTTCTGAGTGAGAGGCAATGTAAGCTTCGGGGCCAACTCTGGCTGGAAGTGGTTAAATCCAACAGACAACCGCTGATGACCTCGCCTTACACACGTGCTGTAGGCCCGGGACAAAGCACCTATCTTCTTGAAAGGCTAGGAAGGAATGCAGCATCAGGGTGCTGAGCGGCAGCAGTGTATGAATTTATCATGGGACGCTAGTGGGCTGCCTTTACATCCCCGTTCTCAATTGTATTTTTGTGGTGGTTGAACCAAATAGTATAGCATTCTTTTTGCAAGACACTGAAACCAACTACACTCACCCCGCAAAACTAGGATACGCCTTTTGGAAGCATCGTATCCCCTCATAACACATTTTCAACTGGAGTTGTGGGATTCACGAAAACAGCCTAGAGCAGTCTGATTTGCTTTTGCGGGCCAAGTGTTTATTGCCTTATGAACCTGCAAATACTCACATGGAAGTCTTCCCCCGGCAAATTGGAACCTTGCTTCAAAACTTGAAGAGTTTAGCCTGAATCCTGGACGCAGTCATAGACAGAAATAAATAATTGTCAAAACCATGGTCCCTTTTGGGGTCCTTGATCTAATACGGCACCTAATATTTAGGGTACCCAAAAAGGGACCATAATTTTGACAACCACCCAAGTGAGCACCGCACAATGGAGGGCAGAGTTGGAGCAGAGGCGAACTGACTCCTCCAAGAAGTTCTGTTTTCAGGTGGCGATCTACTTATGTACTCGGCTGAGGAATAGCTGGAGGCATCAGAATAAGCGTTGCAGGTCTGTATGACATAGATTGCTGCCTATTTATTCAACTTGCACAACTCCAAAAAAGACAAGACAACTCCCCAGGGGGCCGGCACCCAGCTATGTTACGCCGCGTAAAGAAGGGGGGTTCTTCTTCCTTCTTCTTCTTCTGGACCCAAGGTTGCGATGACGCATTTCAGTTCAAGACCTGAATTGGCATTGGGGCGAAGCCTTTGGCAGGCCATAAGGTAAGAATAACGGTAAGTTGGACGGGCCGGTCTGCGCAGGTCATCGCCCGAATGCTGCTGCCGCTGCGCCTGAGGCCTTTGAGGCTGCAGGCACTTCTACAGACACGAGTGAAGCATGTTCTGATCCGCTTGGGAAAGATCTTTAGAAGCCTCTCTCAACGCAGATTATTAGGGCGTTGCCCGGCATTTTTGCATTGTCCGCTGCAGCCGACACTTGACAACTGAACTAATGCGCGCCTCTGCTCTTTCGCCGGCGAGTGTGGCCTTCGCATGCACAGGCACACACTTACCAGAAGGCAGAAAGGGGGAGTTGATCTGTCTTTCTCATGAATTTAAGAGCAACCATTTCAAGGAGCCTTGGCAACGCAGCCACAAAGGGTGGCTTGTATTGGCTAAGGAAGAGACCTTGGGGACCACAGCCAATGGCAAGCTTCTGCTATGTGACAATTCCTTCCAAAGTACCTCCCAAAGACAGAGTGGTGAAAGGCCCCTGATTCTCATGCAGTTATGGAGTGTTCCAATTCTGTGCTGATACTTTTAGGCTGAAGCCGGATTGTTGTAGTCCCCCTCCCCTCTGCGCTTCAACATCCCTTGTCCTTTAGAAGGGTCAGTGCTGGAAGCTTATTCTTGCTGTGTGCATGGGCAAGTGGTACTTCAGATAGGCAAACAACTGTGCACGGCCACTCAACCAATCAAGACCGCTGCCTGATCTCAACCCATGGTGACCCCAAAGCCTGATCTTCCAATGCCCTTGAAACACACCCTATGCTAAAACCCTTCTTCCAGACATGCTCACAGTTTAAGTCTGAACAGCCCACAACTTGACTCCTGTACTGCTCAAGTAATCTCGTTCTTCATAATAGCTCCTAAGCCTAAGCCTTCAACAGCCCCGGCCCAGAAACATCATCTCCCTGTTGCCCAGGAAATCTCAAGAGATGAGATCCAAGTTGTGCCCTAAACCCCGTCCGCAGCCAGCATGGACTTAACATGACTTAACCCATGAAGTTCCTGATGCCACCTCTACGGCATCTACATTACCTGATTATAGGGTATATATTGGGGTAGAAATTACGGTTATATCGGGGTTATATTCTATACAAAACAAAAAGTATCCTGAATCAGACCCCGACTATGACTGTGCGGGTTCGGGGGGTACCCAACTCAACGCCCTTTTGCTCCCGCGGCTGTGCTGCAGCCCTCTCCCATGGCCGTGCAAGAGTCCTCCAAGCGCTTTTGGGGTTCTGAAAGGCTTCCGGGAAAGAACTTCTGATGAGACATCTCCCGCAATATCGTGAAGATATGCAAACGAGACAACTGTGTCCTCTACATTGCGGGTCCTGAAATTCCTAATCAAGAAAGTCTTCAATCTGCTCTTCTGATCACAGTCATGGCATTTCTTAGGTTTCGCTGACCTTTCATACTCCACTGACCCAAAAAGCTGAACATTTTACCCCAAAAAATGCCACCGCTAATAAGACGAGTGGTGACGTGCAATCCTCAGCAATTGGCAATATCTGCATCCCGGATGACCGGATGACCAGCAACAATCCTAAACTGGGTTGCTGTTAAGGAACTTAATTCAAGTTATTAAAGTGGGGAAACCCTATTAATTACTGTATATGCCGAGTATGGGAACTTAAGTTAAGTTCCTTAACGGCAACCCAGTAAAAATTAATCCTGGGGCTGCAGAACGTGCAGCAGACTTTTATTCAAGCCGAACAGATGGGTAGTTCCCAAAATTAAAGGTATATAGGGGTCTAAAGGGGTAATGTAGGGATCATGGAAAATGGAAGCATTCAGGGTTTAGGGTTTAGGGTAGGTCCCAAAATTAGGGTCCCATTTTGGCACCCCTAAGTATTATAATCTGTAACCAAAACTGGCCTATCGTTTTGAGAGAAACTCACATGGTTGCACTCATGGCTTCCCAACAAGTGTGAACTTTCATGATATCGTTTGACCGCCTGAATTGTTGCCTGCGGTGTTTATTGCACAAATAAAGCAGCAATGTGGTGACTCGACAAACAAGGGTCCCCAATCTAGACCCGAATATACTGTAATCCTACTGAGATGCCCTTCAAGGGGCATCATTCGGCTTATCCTCTTCTTGCTGGTTAGTTAGTAAGGAACGAAGGAAATTTCAAACAACATGGAGATTGGTCTACTAGGAGAGATTATTTAGGGGCTGCTGCTATGGAGATCCATTCCAGCACGTGCCGAGGAAAAGGGCACCTTGTAACCCTCAGAAAATGACAGAATCGTAGTTTCCATCTTATTTTCCATCAGAACCCTATATAACTAACCCTATATATAACCCCTGTAACCCTATTTTATCCCCTGTATCGGGCAAACATCCCGTAGGGAGCCCAACACCAGTCATCAAGGATGCCCATTTAGGTCTGCCCTCATTGCTTAAACTACCTACTGGTTAGGCTTAATGTAACAACATAAGTGAGGTGCCCTCAGAAGTAGCACGAAGTAAAGCTGTACAGCTGTGGGAGTTCTCGTTCAAGTTGCCTGGCCCATTCGCTTGGATGGATTACGGCTGTCCTCGTCAAGAGAAGCCAGCCAGTCTTGAAACGGCCGGAAGGTCATCTCCTCATTTGCACGGTGTCTTGTCCGGGGACATGAGGGAGGATAGATAAGTCCCAAATGTGGCAAGGATGCATTGAAAAACATCACAAAAAGCAACTTGTCTTCGGGAGCTTCCAGATCAGAGACCTTCAGGGGTTATATAGGGAGTACATAGGGATCATGTAGATATTATATAGGTGCTTAATATGGATTATATAGCGGTTAAACAGGGATCATATGGGGGTTATAGGCCTTGTGACGCAATTTCTTTGGGTTTCCCGGAAGGTTGGGAAGGTACGTGGTGCCAAATTTCGGACCTGCAACGTCGTACTGCATACGCATGCGCCATTTCCCCTGAAGGCACCTATCCAGAGGCAAATCATCAAACCTTTCTGAGGCCAAACTTCCGAGCGCATATATGCTATACTGCAGCCACAACGTCAAACGTGCAGCTGCAGCTGACTTTGAAAAAGAAACAGTTTCTCAACTTGTTCATGTTCCCGCGAAGACTTTTTCTCGCATCATTCACATGGTTGGTTCTTACCGCTGCGCTCATCCTACAAAATGTCAACACATGAAATGAAACGATAGAAATGTTTAACGATTCTATAGGGTTCTAGGTGCACAGCCTCCGCCGCTTCAGCATATTCTCAACACTGGCTGCACTTGCATCCTTTGCTGTCTTTCTTCTGTGCGACGTGTTGTGTGCCTGGAGGTCTGCCACAGATGCGGATGGCAGACTCGAGTATCTGATGCCGCTCCTGCGTCCACCCTATGATTAGCCCCTGTTTCTAGTCAACGCTGCATGCATTTTCAATGTGGCGCTCCCATGTTAGTTATGACTGTGATATTGCCACCCGAAAGTCTCGATCCTGTCAACCAACCGTGTACTCAACAGCAGTATCAATGCAAAGGTACGTAGCCAACCATTGCCAGCGGGGCGTTGTTGATCTTCGATGCTCGATTTGCATAGCGCAGGGTGCTCAGTGACCTGGGGCTTGCATTTGCAGTTGCTGCGCTCCGATAAAAGGGTTGTATAGGTATTAAACAAGAATATATAGGGGTTATGTAGTATAGTATAGTATAGTATAGTATAGTATAGTATAGTACAGTACAATATAGTATAGGATAGGGGGTTCTCAAGATAGAGGGGCTTTCCTGAGAAAAAATGGATTAGAGGAGCCACCAAGGCTTAGCACACCTTGATCTCCGCAGCACAACCAGTGCACACTTGCTGAAAGTGCAAGTCAAGGGAGAATGGCTCAACAGCCATGTGACTCTGCGTGCTTCTACTCTTGGAAGATTTGGTGAGGCTGCAATGCAGGGCCAGGAGCTCATCAAAGGATGCCGCCTCTTGGCAAATGTTCGCAAGAAAAACCTAAGGTGGCTTGGGGTTTCAAAGCAGAATGGGATTTAGGAAGTTTGGGTTGGGGGTTGAGGAGTCTACAAAACCCCTAAGCCCCTACCCCAAGTTTCTATTCAGGCTCTGAGTTCAGCTACAACCACCACCATCACCATCGGCTTCCCCTCCTCTAGCTGCAAATCCGCCCACGCCTCCACCTCTATGACTACGAGCGACGAGCAGGAGCACTGCCGCCGCTGCAGCCATCACCACACCACAACACCACCTCCTGCCTGTCTACTACTTGAACCCTTGTTTCATACAATCAGGGAAAGAAGGTTCAAGTGAACAGAAGGCACAAAAGCCTTTGCGATCCTGAAGTCGAATCCCTGGATTCTAGCTCCATGTCCGTGCTTAGGTCAGGGTCTATGTTGGCGTGGGAATGTAGGTCTAGTGCCAAGTTTTGACTCTCGCCACTTGCATGTGAGGCTCTTTGCTTTTTCAACCCTTGAAGGGGACCATAGCTCTGAGATGTACGCAAGCTGACTGGACACGTCTGAACTTGGATACGAGTGTGGTTGGTCAAGCCAAGGCTGCAGACTTGGCCCGCAAAAAAGGTGTCAGTCATTGCCGTCAAGGCACTGTCCGTGCGGGTCCGCCGAGGGAAAGTTGCAGAAGTCGAGTGAGCTTTGAGTCCTGGCAAGGAGTCGTGCCGTACAGGTAGTATCTAGCAATCTGACGAGTCTGGTGGCGTTCATAGCATCTAGGGCTTCAGATTCACATTTTAAGGGTTGGAGGATTGCAAGGTGTAGTGCCTCTGACTGTACACAAACTACAAGCCCTTCCCAAGCGCGGAGCACAACTCGTGCGTCTGCTCCTCTCGGGCAAAGGCGTACTGTGACCCAGAAGCTCAGTCCTGATTGGAAATTAAGGCCTTCGCATAGCGCTATCGAAAAGTCCCAGAAATTTACGATGCCACTGTTCCCTTGAAAGGTCAACATCCCTTGTTGGACGAGGTGACCCCCTCCACCCCCACCAGTTTTGTGCAAAGGCTGACCATGGGCAGTGAAGTCAGACTAGTAAACACAGATTAGTGCGAAGAGGCTCCCTAGTAGTTTTCGAGGTTGAGATGCGAGGGGGCTTTGCGATTTAAGATTCGGATGTGCAAGCAGTGTGAGCTTCAGCTGCTCCAATATCACGACTGCTGCATCACTTGCAATACCCGGGCTAAGGCTGCTAAGGAATCTCTCGAGGCTTTCAGATAAGACAAGAGCTCTATTTGATTCTTTTCCCCGGGATTCCTGCACGCCAGGACCTTAGGCGAGCCTCGTGAGGAAATACTGACTACTGAACTCTTTTTTTTGTGGAATTGCCCAATATCATTCTTAGATCCCCATATACCCCACATTCTGCAACTACAGGGGGTTCAGAATCAGGCGTTGCCTTCAGCCAGCACCCCACAGCTTCTCCAACACTTGGATGGCGCACAAGCCAACAGATCTTTCTACAAGGGAGTGGAGCTATGGCTGTACTGTTATTGCTAATCATTCAATTCCTTCTCTGGCTTTGCTTCTGTGTTGTTCCATTATTTCCTCATATTCGCTATCATGACCAAAACTGTCATGGATACCAGGGTGGCTATTCTTCTCCTCCCCCTTGGCATGATACTTTGGGACCCATGGTCCCGGTAGGGGATGTGCACAGATCTCTCATCAGCCAGGGAGCTGATCACCTGTGCACAAGTGGTGATGCTAACCCAGACCCCCAAAGGGATCTAAAAACAAGGATTATATAGGGGTTTTAATGGGTTTATATAGGGGATCTAATTTCTAGATCCTCCCAGGGGTCTGGGAACCTAAACTTTCAAAACAAATTCGTTCCGGCTTTCCGTACACATGTATGACAACCCCTGGACAAGCATGCAGGCAATGTATCATGAGGATGACAGCATCGTGACGGCCCTTGGTTCGATGATTTTCCAAACCCGAAACCCTCTGGCAAGTAGGCAATGCCTTCAACTTGCTGGGCGTTGGCAGGGAAACCCGGTACTCAATGAAATTCTTGTCCACATGTGCAGAACTCCTTAGAGTGAAGAATTACTGGCATGAATGGGTAGGAAATTGCTGGGAGGTGTAGTTGCATGCCAAAACAGAGGGACAAGTCATGCTGGAGTAGATGAGGCTCGCTCACACTAAGTTGGGAATCGGGAATAGGTTGCAGGAACCAATACAGGGATAGCCTAAACCCCTAGTATCCCCCTTACTAACCCCTATAGAAGCCCCCTATATAATTCCCTATATAATCTACCATATAATCCTCCATATAACCCTTTAAGGAGTTTAGATTCTAGCTCAGCTAAGCATGGTTAGGAAGAAAGCATTTTGCTACGGAGGAGGCCGAGGCACGTTGCAGAGCGCGGACAGTGAAAGTTGAATCGTTGTCCTTAGCTGGATTAGGGGTCATATTGGAATATATTGTGCTCGTGTTGGGTGTATATTGGGATAATGAAAAAAGGTGAAACTACTATTTAGGGCTCAATTTGCATGCGAACTTTCCCGTTGGCTACGTGGGGATTTCCCTTCGCTATGAGCCCCGCGAAATTGCAGGAACTGTTTGCACAGCCCGTAGCCAAATAATAGTCTAATCATTTGAAAGTCGGTTCTGCATTGAATTGCGTGCGTTTGCGTCTGGACGGTGGGCCGCCAAAAGAGGAACAACGAAGGACAAACGTGACAAGTGGCAGCCCAACATCTGCAAATAGAAAGCCACAGTTGCTATGCAAGGCTCAAAGGTAATCCCGACCCTCTCTGTAACCAAGGACTTTCTTTGTCCTGCAATGGCGCGTGCCCAGCGTCGCTTCTCTTAGCCGCAGCGAGCCGTCCAGTTTCGTGTTTCGCTCAGAACCTCATGCCACGGGTTGGAAAAACGACAAAAGGGATTTTGGGCGAACTTTGCCACGAGGAGCAACCTGTCTTTTCCTCCTGTCCCTCCTGCCCCTCCTCCTGATCCGCCTCCTGCTGCTCCGCTTCTTGCATCTGCTCCTGCCATTACTGCTTTCGGCTGTTGTTGCTAGTACGGCGGTTGCTGCTGCTGCTGCTGCTGCTGCTGCTGCCGCCACTATTCCGCTGCTACTAACGCTGAACTACTACTCCTCCTATTGCAAATACGGGTACTGCTGCTGCTGCTGCGACACTGCTACAGCTGCTGAACACAACAATGCGATTCTGACAGTCCCTGCCGTTCTTTTGAGAGATACCAAGCCAGCAATCCTAGTAGCTGCTGCAAAATCAGCCCCCTGACTCCATGTAAGTCTTCGAATTCTGATGAACTCTCTGCACCAAAGTAGAACTGCTTGTTTGGATGGTGCCGTGTTGTATGAAAAAAGCCTACCGAGCTCTTCTCCAGAATTGACCTGGTTTGAGACCAGTCCCCTCCCCGAGCGGGAACTCTCAGCGACCGCAATTATGTACTTTGTCTACAGACCTTGCAGGAGTCAACGGCTACTGCTTGGTGTCGGAGTGCCTTCATGCAACAAGAGGAAGTCATTTAGGGTTGTGGGCGCTTCGCTGCCCTGACTCGTAGGCTCAGAGCTCTAAGAAGCTTCAACACCATGAATGCCCAATCGATAGGACGAGTTGCCCTTACATTTCACCATCGTTAACAGCCGGGAAGAGGTTCGGCCTGAATGATCCTCGCTCGGGGCTTCTCTCAGGAAATGCTTTTTGAGCTGTAAGGCAAAATTGTAGGGTAGAAGCATCAAGATACAGGCGCTGTGAGATACCTTAGATGGACCCCCCACCCTCTTATAGTGACAGCGAGGGATAATGATAACTATGTTAGGGTCATCTTCTAGTCCTATGAAGCCACTATTGCAGGCAAGGGGTCCACCTAAAAGATACCCACTTAATGTATTGCCTGTCCGTTTGCAAATAGGGTTCGTACATGTTCTCAAAACACTGCACATGTTCAGTTATCGTCAAAAGGACCCTTTTGCTCTTGTCCAGGTTAGGTTCAGGGGCGTGCAGGAATGTGCAGGAAGTTGGGCTGCGGGATATTGAGCTAAAGGCTTGCAGGACTCGATGTGGATGTGCACAGCTTCTAAAGCAAAATTCAAGTAGATGTTGCAAAACACGAACATCACACAACACCCTGCAGGAGGGGATGTAGGTACGGATGATGCGGTGGTGGCGCCACGGCAGGTTGTGGTGCCGGTTTGCCATGGCAGTAGCGGCGGCAGCCATGGTGGCGGTGGTAATGGTAGTGAGCGCGGCAGGTGTTGATGAGGAGTAGGGCGCAGGCTGCAAACAAAGCTCAGAAAGATTTTTGCAAGGGGTTTCTGTTTCTGCGCGTTGTCAAAACTGGCGACTGGCATGGATAACTATAGCTCGCTCGTCATCACATCCACCTTTCCAGGCAGGAAGGCCCGGGACTACCAATAATACAGACATTCACTCTTCACGCCCACAGTTTGCATGTGCGGAAAAATTCGGATCACCATATTCCGTCCAGCGTATTAGTCTAGCTCCCTCGCCTCCTCTTTTTCTCGCCAGTCTTCCCCATAGCAACGTAGCGGGCTCTAGAAGGGGCGCCTCCTCCCTTCCAATGCCAACAAGTCAGTTGCCTTCCGTAAAAAGGGCCGTCTGAGCCCGAGCAGAAATTGGCAGTTTCCCAAAATAAGGGGACCCCAATATAGACCCCTGAATACTATAATCTTTATTATAGGGACCCCAAAAAGGGTACCCATAATTTTGGGAAACCCCATTTGGCATGCCAAAGATAGGCCCTGCACCCCGAGACTACAGGGTAGTTTCCCAAAACAAGGTGACCCAATATAGACCCCAAAATACTATAGTCCTGATTATAGGGACCCCTTAAAATGGTACCCCTAAATTTGGGAAACCCTTACAGAGTCCCTGCAAAGTACCGACCAGACTTGTGGCACATCTGGGGTACTGCCCCCACCCATCAATGCTGAACGGGAAACGTTTGTTCCCGATTAGCATGGAGGGGCAATAATCCTGCGAAGTTTCAAGCCGGTCTCACGATAAGATTGAATTAGAACGTGTGCCTCAAGGATCTTAAACTTCAGGATTTCAGGTTTCAGTCCAAGTCCAAAACTGTTGATTTCTTCTTACATCGCTTATTCGGGGAGGCCAGGCAATCATTTTTGCAAGGGGGTAGTCCAGCAGCTGCTTGGGTCCTCAACAATACGAATATTTTGGGGGACCTCTTTTCTCCGAAATTGTCGGGCACTCTGCAGCGCTCCTCTTACTAAATTTGTTTAAAACCGAGTCCGAGCTAAGGACACCCTGCTCCTACTGAATTTAATCTAAAACAGATGCTGAGCTGAAACCCTCCCATCTTGAATTTAATTAACAGCAAAGTCTAAGCTCCAGAAACCCAGGAATCCCTCCTCCTTTTGACTTTAAAGCCAGGATCCAGATTCGTTTTGGGGGGGACCCATACTCGGTGCTGTTAATGAGGGACCCTGTTTTGTTTGGGGGGATCTCCTCTACTGATCAGCACCCAACATCATGGGTTTAGGGTTTAGGGTTTAGGGTATAGTTCTACATAGCCATTGTGTTTTCCCCTATTATAAGCTGTTCCTGAGTGGGGGCAGTACCCAAGGCACACCCCTCAATTGGAACTTGCAGCCCAGCATCCTGTGTCTGCACCGCTAACCTGAAAACAGGGCGGAGCTCCCCGAACTTCCAGAACCCCTCAAACTCAGGAATAATTACGCCCAAAGCATGCTAAAACCCCAGTTTCCATTTCATGTTCCATGATCTTTTCCATAGGTGATTCCCCCATATATATTGTATACGCCCTATAGCGTAGTAGTGTTCATTCTCTCTGCCATTATCCCCTAGTAGGATCTTGGGAACCTTCCCCAAAATCTGATGCCAAGTGTTCTGCCATGAGGTTGTAAGAGGCTTCTTCCCTGCGGATGTCTTAGCTTAAAAACCTCTGCGCGACATTGCATGCGGGCTTAACGTCGTAGGGATACCCGTGGGTGCCTTGGGAACATGTAGATGGATGGAGTTGACTAGAGACAATCTAGGATGGAGTGCCAGGTTCGAGGCAGAATTGTTTTCAGTTCTGACAGGCAGAAGCCGCCCGCCGTACTCCCATGTGAAACTCACACCGGCACCTTGGACCAGCTGTCTAAGCCACGACAATGGCTCTTTGAGCTTTTGCATGCCAAATTGAGGGGGTGCTTGTACCCCCACATACGACCCATAGAAGAGTGCGTTTGCAGCCCTCCATCTTCAGATGCAGCTTCTGCTTGAAATATAAACAACAACATGCTACATCTGTGGTAACCCCTTGCGCCAGGCACAAAGTTAGCCACCCGAGCCATGCTCGGTGGCTTCTTGCTTATAACCCAACATGCCCACTCAAATGGTTGATGCCAAACATCCCGTATGTCTCGAAGAAAGCTTCTGACTATTGAACGCAAAGCGTGCAAGACGTTGAAACACAGAAAAAACAGCCCACCTGGCGACGAGCTCGTGCTTTCCGGGATTTTGTTGACTGGCACGGCTATGCCCAAGAGCCTGGGCTTTCACAGAGCATGCCTTGGCAAAGAAACTATAGCTGCATGGAGTGCTCAAATTCAATACTGCAGGCAGTGCCTCGAGGGCTCTTGGAGCCCAAGATGGTGCTGGGGATCTTAATGATATATTGGGGTTCTCAAGAAACTCAGGAGGTCCCTGATACAGAGCAAAGACAATCCTATGTGTCGACCTCCAGTGAAACGGGAGCTCACTGAGAGAAATGGTGTTGACAGAGCCGAGGAAAAGGCGTTGTTTGACGCCTCGCCACCCCTCCACAGCCTTCCAGACCACGCACCCTCCAGCAGGCCTTGATACTGCATGTTGCATAACTTCTTCTGTTTGAAAGGGTTTGGGTCGACCTTTAGCTTGCCTTGCCGGGCAGATAGGTCACTTCAGCCAGTCCCTAACAAAACAAGGCCGGCCACCGGCACTAAGGAGGACTGCGACGGACACTAGGAGTGAAAAGGATTTACGGGGAGTTCGTCAAAGGGAGGGCTTGTCTTTACATGGTTCTAAAACCTAAGACCACTCTTCATGCTAACAACAAACACCCACCCCTCACGTTCAGTGTGTCCCCTGTATCTCTTATGATATATTTAATGAAGTCTCATATGGGGAGAACTTACTATCCAAAGTGGGAGGGTGTTTAAACTTGGTATGAAGGGACAAAAATCCTGGCCTTGACAACTATTCAAAATCCCTTGCAGGAACTCCTCTGATACCCTGAAAATCCGATGTGTCCCTGGGACCCACAGGTCCTGAAGAACCTAAAGGTGCCCCTCCACACCCAAAAGCTCTTGTTAAAAGATTTCCTATATCTACTGTCGGGCCTAGACTGCGGCTGACAAATCCTGCAGTACCCATTAACTAAGAGCGCACGAGGATGCCCAAGGCCATGCGGGATTGATACCCTTCAATAATGTGACTGTGAAAGCGCAAGGAACACCGCCACTGCGACTGAGACCCATCGCCTTACCGCAAACACGGCCTCGCCCCCCAATACGAAACATGCCTTTCAATGGGCTTGGGCTACTTCCGGAATATCCAAAGCCGGCGGTTGGCGGCGGTGCTTGGCATAAAAAATGGGATCGCATGTGATGACTACCCTCTGAAGACTCAGGGTTAGGGGCTGAGGGTCAGCCGAGCAAACTCACCCAACACCCTGCCGCAAAATAGCCCAAAACTCTCAGACCCTGTGTCATTCTGCCAATAGGTGGGCTATTGTTCAATTGGGGCACAAAGGCGTACGCGGACTGAAATTCCGCTTCGGAAGTGACCTTGCCGGAAGTTCTTCGTGCTGAGCAAGTAAGGGTTTAGGGCCTTAGGCTTCGAGGTTCCATGGTCGAGTGTCAGTTCAGACTGTATTGCTTTGAAGGGTCACGTCGACCTGGAAGCTCACTGTCAGCAGTCTCCATTGCAGATCTGCCAGATCGGGAAAGGGGCTGGGAACAAAAAATGTGCTCCGCGCTGCACCGAGGGTGCAAGTGCAAATTGAAGCAATCACGGACGACTTGATTGGTTGCATATCTTGTCAAGCAATGCTTGGGCCGTCGGATGTCTTGCCAGCAGCAGGAGTTTGTAACACATCCTTTTACATTTTTTTTGTCTGTTTTTTAATGGCGCCTGTTAAATCGGAAAGCGAGCAGAACTAGTGTCAGCGACAGATCGGCAGAAACCACGAACATCGCCAGTCATCCAAACATCTGTGTTTGAAGTTGCATACGACCGATTTGTTAGGATTTTACGTTTATTGCCAGCTTTACTTGCACGGCGATTGCAGACTTCTTAATTCGCGGCGCTGGGCACCATGCCCAGAAATCCATCAACCCAGAAAACCTAGAAACTCATCCAATCATACCTTCTTGAAAACTTACCTGTCCCATGTGAGCCTTTTGTGGCTCCATGCAGGGTCACTAGGCTACACTGATGTCACATCTGGGCTCCCCATCGCCAAATAAGTCAGATCCATGCGAGATGCGCCTCTACAACCATATTTCTTCTCGTCACTGGCAGACTACATGCTACACGACTGGTGCCCATACCCTGCCTCCACTTCAATGCAATCTTTGACGCGCACGAGAGTCCTTGAATGTTGAGG